CCATACAAGTACTCATTTTAATCTTTTTTTTGTATCAAATAATTATCCTTTGATTTAGAAAACAATGGTATGAGTATGAACAATAATAAATTCTTAAATTTTCCAAATCAACACGATGATCTATTAGCAATATAAATGCTGCTGATTCTGATCAACTATTAATGAAATATATCAAACGTATTTTAACCTATTTTATCAATTTATCATTTGGAAATATCCGACAGAATATCTTTTGATTTATTATTTCAAATTTTGAATTTATTGCTAGAATATGATTCATTAAAAATTTTTTCAATATTATCTGATCAAACAGAAAATTTAGATTTCGACGTAAATGATACCTTTCTTTCAATAGTAAGCAATAGTAAAATTGCTAAAGTTTATTCTGGAAATTTTTATTTTATTGAACTTTCTTATCTGATATTATTTTGTCCATAGATCACATATCTCAAATTAAATCGTATAACTGATGTTGATATGAAATTAGTTTTACAATATATATTGGAAAATAGCAGTCTATATTATGAAGATCTACGTTTATTATCTTTTTCTGTTTCAACTACAGATGATCAAATAATAAAAAGCTTAGCAAAAATGATTGACGAGGATGTGGGGGTGGAAGTGGCTGCGGGGTACCTATAGATCCACAGACACAGCCAGGTGTATACCAGACATGTTCACACTCCACTCCCTGTCTTTTTCATTGCTTCGTCTTTTTTCTTCGTTCGTTCGGTAGTTGTTGTTTTTGTTTTGTCATTCTTTGTCCACTCATGCATTCTTTTCGTCGCTCGTTCGTTCCTCAATCTTCATTGCATGCCCACACTCCCTGGCTCGTTTGGATGGACTTTTTGTTCTACCTTTAGAATTAACTGTTGGATCGTTTCGTACACTGGCAAAATGTCTCCGATATGATGAAGATAAGCGGTGGCCGCACTGGCATGTTCGCAGATTACGTACAAAGCGTGCTGTTCATCAACGCCGGCCATATTTGTTCGCTTGGTCGGATGTTTATTTATATGGAGTCGTCGTCTTTTCGCGCCCATCTCTAAAACCTTATATTCGTCTTTCTGATTGGTTGTGAACACTTCCACTTCCATGGCATCTGCACAGTTTTCGATATCTTTTTCATCAGATGTTATTTGTGTCGACCGATCAGTCACTTGTTCAGCGAAAACACGAATATATTGAAGGGTACTATTTTTGTTTTGTAAATATTGTTGCAAATACTGAAGCTGACTTTCATTTGATAATTCGGACAAAAATGTTGTATTAGAATTCATATGGGTAATATAACGATGACCGTCACCATCCATCGGAAACATAAATCGATTTTTAACCAATGTCCAAGCATCATAGATTGAGTCTAGACTAGGTGCTTCGTCGAACAATTTTTTATATGCAGGAGAAATAGCTTCTTTATTTGTTTCACCCTGAGGAATACAATGAGCAACGAATGCGATAGGTGCCAAATCTTCGCATCTAATTTTCCATATTTTTTGATCATCTGGAATGACGAACGAAGGTATTTCTTGCTTGTAAAGAGGCGAAAAATGTTTATAGAATTTTTCTTCTGTAAGACCACCATCGTAGCACTTCTTTAAAATCGTCTTAATAAGATCGGGATGAAAAACGATGGTGGATGCATTGTTATCATCCTTAGGCAGCACGCTTTTCATCAGTAGTAAATCTGGTGTGTCCTGACCGTCCTGTTCTTCCACTCCTATTTGATCTTCTCCTTGTTGTTCCGTGTTATCAGTGTTTCCTACCTCTCTATGTTGTTCTTGTGCAAAATTAATTCCTGAGAAGACAGAATAAAATCGAAACAGTTGTGTGTTTTGCAGCATCTTGTAAAGCTGCTGCGAGTCTTTAATTAGTGACGAAGAAATTGCTCGACAATATTCTGCCGCTAGTGAGTGATGTCCTGGGTGCTTCGAAGAGCAATGATCGATCGACCAGACCCCATCATCGTCGGTAGAAAGAATAATCGGTACATGTTCATCAAGCGGATTGATTCGCACAGGCTGTTGCGAGTTACCTCCACGCAGCGCTGGTCCTAAGAGATACTCGTTGCTAGTAAGATTAACTTCGAAAGCGATCTTTTTCAGCACATGCTTGGCGTGATCTTTTATTTCTGCTAATAGAACCGACGACTTGCGATGATGTGACTTGCTCATTCCATCGCCGAGAATACGAGCAAACGCGATTCCATGGCCAATTCGAATGCGGACGTCCGATTTTTGTTGTAAGTAACGCAAACAACGAAAGACAATATACATATGTGCAATAAAATGACGATAAGCATCTGCGTCGGCATCGGCGAATGGAACGTTTTCGCCACAGTGAATTCGTAAACCAAAATCTCTATTTTTGATACTTCGCTCTTTCACGAATGCACGAAATGGCCATGCCACAAATGGACAATAAGGGTATCCCATCTCATCGCCGAACAGATCAAGACCTACTACCCAATCATAGTAACCATTGATTTTTGATGAAATACGATCCAACTTCCTCAATTGTAAAATCAAATCACTGAAGATCGAATCCTAGGGAAAAAAAGCAGTCGTGGATTATCCAAGAAAAACCATCAACATATGAGATGTTAGTCAAAAATTATCTCCTTGCGAACAAAATAGTACAGTGTAACGTTCTATGTTGAGAGCGTTCTTAGATCACGTTTAACCTTTTCTCGTTCTTCCTTGTCAGCATATCTTTTGTCCTTCATTCTTTCATAACTGTGATAAGCTTGTTGCCTATTCTTTCGACAAGTATACATTTATCATCTTCCATAATTATCTTTCCTGGTGTCCTGATATTTGTATTGATATGTCTATCTTTCCTCTTGTTCTGTCTTCCTCTTCTCTCGCCTTCTTGGCTGCGTATATAAACGCGTGTTGTGGATGTAAACGACGCGATTACTGATATGAAGAAGCTAAATAAAGCGTAATTCCATCCACACTATCATCTCTTTTATCTGAAATTGTCACATACAGAAAGAAACCAACCACAGAACAGCTCAGCGTGTTTTGTGAAATAGTACAAGATTTTGTAGAACGCAATACTCGTTACGACTTTGTTAGATCGATCAATAACTATTTGACGAAATCAAGTTAGCGAGTCACTATTAGAAGAACGGAAAGGACCATGATGAAAATTATGCAGGATGCTTGAAAAAGTCTTACAGAGTTGCTTATTTACATAACAAAATTCTCTTCGTAATGAATAAGCTTGAGATAAATATTGAAATATATCGGATGAAACACAAATAACATCTCTGCGAATTGAAGATAGACTTTTTTCTAATCAACTTATAATATTTTGAAGGGTCGACTGTCTCTATTCATCTTTACTGCGCTGATATCCATCAATACGATAACTGAGATCGATAGAATATGGTTATTAGCTGATCAAACTGGATATGGAATAGACTAGGACGAAGTCAATTAGTTTTGATATTTTTCATCTAACCTTGTTCTATTGAATATTCATATAATTGATTTATGTCAAAACTAATAGTATGGTTTGATATAGGGTAACGATAATCTATGTCTAAAGTGACTTTGAGCCTCAAAAACCGCTTAATGGAACATTTTCTCTGTTTATATGACTTTCTTTTCAAGAAAAGAAGTTCATATTGTGCAAGTGCTTGTGTAGAATTCACGTTAGCAGTGTTTCATTCATGAAGCAAGATTTCTTCAGAGTTTATATATGACCTTCGGAAATATATTATTCTCTGTGGCAAAGTCCATGGTTACTGTGCTAGAGAGAAAAAAATTGGACAAAACACTGCTCTTTGTGCATTCATTGCAATGCACTATATTTTCAAAATTGACGTTTTGTCAATATTGCCATCGAACCTTTCATTCAAGTTGAACCTCGAGTCGAACGTTTTCCTGATGCATCTCATTCCACTTTATCCACAAAAATACTTATGGATCCGAAGTAAAGACAAAATTTTCAGATCTTGCCCGTTTCAGAAACTACCCCCAATCATCTTTTGTCTTTTACTGGCAACTTGTTTTCCGCATGGATGTGAACTTCTGACCTCTAAATTTACCTCAGTACATCTTCTTGCATCTTCATCATCTTCACTTCGCTTAATTTCTTTCAGCATGTAATAAATGGCCAAACTAGGCGAATCGTTGAGTAAGCGAAGAGCATTCAGCTGATTTTCGAGGCCATTCCCCTTGAGAGTTTGTCGGTTGAAACCAGCCAGAAATTTGTAAACAACATTGAGTACGCAAGGCAATGGTTTCTCATTTGGCATTTTAAAAGCGTTCCTGAGCTGAGGAAAATGATCCTTCTCGATCATCGTACGAAAGCTGCCGGACTCAAGTATGCATCCGATAATTGGTTGATAGGCGGGAAAACTACGTAGTACATCAAAGACCCATGGACGACAAAGGTCGCCGACGCCGATCGATAGCTCACAATATTTTATTGGAGGTCTGCAGTTTTGATAGCGCTCAAGAACGTATTTGAGTAAGGTGGCAAGTATGTCGAGTCGTTGTGAATAGAGTGAATCTTTCAATGCAAATCGACGTGGATAAAATTCGGGCGTAAATGAACCGTGAAATTTGTCGAAATCTATCAGACGAGGAGCGCTACCATCCGGATTACACATAGAAAAAGCATTTTGAAGATGCGCACGAGCCAGTATACACTCTGGTGCTGGTGCATTTGCTTCGACATTGATGAGTTTACGTAAGATTTCAATAGTAATACCTTTGACAACTTGAAACTTTTGCTCGCGAGCATTGAATACGATCCATCGACGAAATAGTTCCGATGGAAAATCTGGTGGTCGTGGATAAACATGAAGGCCGAGTTTCTCTTCAACCTTGCTCTGAATCAAATCGTCACTTTGAGTTATCCATGGCATTGTGACACCTAGACCTTTGCCCAGATCTCTCAATGTCAGAACAACATCATAGGTAAAATCGCCCATTATCTTGTGTTTTGAAGGAACCGTGTATGTTTGCGTCGTTGAACTTTGTGCATTTCCGAAGAAAAGTCCATAATGGTTCAATTCATTATTAAATTGAATGTCATCAATTAGGTTTTTGAACACATCAATCGCCTGGTCACGGCTGCTGTCACCCAGGACCACGTTACTGAGGTCATCATCAGCAATCTTGTTCTTTGGAAAATTTCGTTGAATTAGAAAATCAATAAATCGTGCCGTATTTTTGCCATCGATAAAACCTTGGCAATTCTTGTTCGGATGCTTGTTCCAAATCAGCGGACACAATTGCTCACGAAGAGCAGGATCTTTGCAGAATTCGAGATGTGTCGGAAGAATGCTCTTATTCTCGATAATACTGTCAATCCAAAAACCTGTATTACCCATGCCTAACAAGTGAGTGTGCAAATCAGATAAGTACCGTTGTCGTTCTAAATATATTTGTATCTTTTCATTTGGACTTGGCTCATTTACCTTGTCCTCTTCGGCTTTGTTCCGTTCCACATAAAGCTCATCAGTGGTAGGGGGCCGTGCTAAATAAAATATAATTTTTTAAAGCAATAATGTCAAGTTTCTTATCAATTCAAGCTCAATAAAAGCTTGTTTTACAGAAAACGTTCCACATGTCTTACTTCGACTTGAAAAAGGTACATCATTGGTTGTTGCCGGCTGGCTGTTTGCCATTATCAATACACTGTGAATAAAGAATTGCTCAAATAGATTACGACAAATACCAATTGGTGTTTTGAAATTTGATCAAGATAGTGATATGTTTCTTCGGCAGATAGGAAATTGAAAGAATGTGATGATTTATATCTAGAAAATGGTACAGACGTGCGAGAGAACCATCGTTACCATCCATTTTCAAGCTCAAAAGAATCATAATAGCGAAAGCTGTTAATTAACGGAGTGTTGTTGACAATAGTTATTCTGCTCGGACGTATATAGAACCGAGGTCGTTAGAAATGAGCAAAGATCGGATCCAAAAGTCCATATACTTAGCTTTATTGACAAGCTAAGTAGAGTATCGTTAAGATGATATGGGTTCCGATGTGGATGTGAGGATGACTGAAACGAGTACCCACCGATGACGGTTTCTGATAGAAGGGATGCTAGTGTGGATGGAGATACAATTTATTCTTATCCTTCATATCATACAATTGCATCGTTTTCATACAAAGCATACGCTTATATACTCAACCATCAGAGAAAAGAAAAGAAAAGAAAAGGGTAATACAGACAGAAACTAAGAGCAATGAGATAGGAACAAAGTACAACATGATTTACAAAATAAGGACAGACAGATAAGGACAATACATAAAATGAGAAGAAATAGTAAGGAACTGTCAAACATCATGCATAAAGTGCACTCAATCGGGAGCGTTACGTTCCCCTCCCCCCCCCCTTCCCCTCACATAAATATCTACATCCTCACATCCACTCCTTCACTGAACGTATCTACATCATCGACATTCAAGGAGATTAAAGAGATAACAAGTGAAAGATCTCGAACATGGAAATTACCATAGCGAAAAAAGAAAGAAATCGGCAATGAAACGTTTGTTAAGCTGTTCTGCCGCTATATATATGACTGCTGCCTATGTGTACAATAAGAACTTTAATATTTTTGAAATATTTGGTCGTTGGATTTATCATCAAAGCACGAAAAAAGTCACAACGACAGAACATTTGTCAGTTAACTGCCATTAAACTTTCACTGCAATAAAAAATAAACAAATCGACAATAGCTGTTTCTTTCCATTACTGTCTCCATCTTGATATAATTGCTGTCCAAGTCTTCAATGACACCCGTGTACTTGTCAGAGAGCAACTATTGACGTAAATGCCAAAAGGGAGAGAGAACACAAGAATGAAAGAAGATATAGCAGCTGTCTATCATCGATAATTACCTAGAGAAGAAAAACCGACATTGAAAATGAAGGCTGTTTTGTGTTCTTGCATCGACTTTATACAATTTCTCTTATTTTTTTCAGCAGAACTGCTATATTTGAGAGGACGAGCAAAGTCTGGGATAGAAACCACAACAGAAAAGAATCTCGAATCGAAAAAAAAACCTGTTAATGCTGTGTTATCGAAACGTACTAACAGAAGAAAAAGTGAAACTGAAAATTCATTTTGTTTCACGTTTTATATTCGTTTTTAATTACATCACATCACTTTTCTTCTTCAACGGTACTGCTATACTTATCACAGCTAGGTGTGCACTGGTGCCAGTAACTGGGTCCCAGTCGGACTGGGTACTTAGCCATTTGACGTTTATTTCGCTAATCGATCAGTACTTCCCTCTTTTCTAAGAGTGTGGGTATAGGGGTTGGTTTGATGTTGGTATGAGTATCGTTATTGTCATTCTAACCATTCCCGCATCCAAACAACATCCACACCCATATCCATCCAAACAACACCCAGACCCACCCACCCACATCTACACCCTAGCCATACCCACACCCTGAAGACATCAAATTCATTTATAGTATTCTAAATTATAACGATTGAGATATAGAAATATATGTTTAGCCAATAGATTCAGTATCCTAACTTATATCACTACTTCAACAGCCTAAAAATCACTGTATGACAATATACTAGAAAAGAAAGTACTACTCGACTAATGGACTAAAGATCAAAGGACTTAGTACCCAGTCAGAACTGGGACTGGTGCATCCCTAATCACAGCGAGCAAACATTGAAGTAAAAAGCACAATAGGAGAGAATCTAATATAATCAAGATAATATATATTCGCATGCTACACTCAAAAGTGATGGTAGATTGTCGTTGCCATTTTGAAACAATCAGAATGCATCCATACAGAACACGACATTGTAGAGAATAGAAAGCGTTGTCGCCAATGGGTGGATATAAGTGTAGGCGTGGGTCTTCTTTTCATTCATACCCACATCCACACCCATACCCTCAATCTTCCATGCGTGTAATTCATTATAATACATATCAATTAAACATATAATCTCTAAACTTCTGTCGTTGTAATTCGGACCTGACATTGTGGGGTTGTTGTCTTCTATATGTTCGAGAAAATAATTTTCTCTCACTTCAATAGCATATAATAGGAACAGAACAACAAAAGTGACTTACAGTGAATGAATAACTGTTATTTTTTTCTAACCCTGACAGAAAAATTAAAAAAATAAACTTGATAAATTGTTTTCGATATATTTACTAATACAACACTTTCTTAAGATTGATGCAAATTGAGTGTAGTTTCTCTTGAACCATAGCTAATGCTACTCTTCAAAAATGTCTCGTCAATGTTCATTCATTTCTAAATACAACAAAGAGAATAATAAAATTAAAGTGAAGCCAATGCTTATGAAATACCCTTTAGTTTTACTACGTAGAAAGAATTGCTTAGAAAATTGGGTTGATGTTTACTCTGAGTACTAAGCATTATTTTGATGCCAGTCTCATCAATGAATAAAGCTCGTAATCAGAAAATTGCAAAAAAATAGCAAACAAGAAGAAAATGATTATGTAGAGTATGAAGTCGATTATGACATAATTCAGCTTTTAGAAAGAGTTAGAGAGGACTAACAGATTCAATCGGAAAGTTTCTCTGTAAGGACTTTCTTATAAGGTGTTAATAATCCAAAACATTTTTTTGTGTGAAGTCCCAATCTGTAGACTAGCGTGTCTTCTCATTTGCGAACATAAAATCGAAATTCAAAATCTGTTAAATTCAATTGCAGTTATTTTTCAAATTAAATTTATTCAAATTGAAAATAATCTTAGGTCTCAAATTTTCGGTTTTTAAATTTCAAAAAATTTACTGTCAACAATTTTAATACGACTTACAATTTCAGTTATATTTTTAAACTTGCTGAAATTTATAGAGTTCGTTAAAGATTGTTTTTCATTATTTCAATTTAACTAGCTGTAATTTGTAGAGAGCGCTAAACTTCAATAGTGCTTCTTTTCTTTTTAATTACTGCAATTTACAGAGTTCACTAAATATTGAGTTTCACTATTTCGATTTAATGAACTGTGATTGGTAGAGTGCGCTAAAATATAGTAGTGCTTTTTTATTCTTAATTGATTGCAATTTATAGAGTTCGTCAGACATAATTGTTACTATGAATGCCATCAACTGTTTTTGATTTTGAACAGATCGTATAATTATGATTATAAAATGGAATCAAACATTGAATGAAGACAACTGATTGGTGTGCAAAAGCGTTTATACATAAAAATCAAAAATACAAAAATGATGTTCTAAAAAAGACGGCTTAGAAATATAAATGTTGATGAGTGTCTTCTCTTAACGACTACAGCTCGATCCGCCCACACCACATTCGGAACAAATATTGATTATTACAACAAATTATGGTACAATCTCCTTAAAAACTCGCTTTGTCTTTAACCAAAATCTTTCTTAGTTCAGCCCAAATCGACGATCCTTGCACGTGCATTTTAAGTGTTAGTTTATCAATAACAAAAGAAAAACAAACCAGCTAGTACATTCTATTTTCAATTTCTATTAAAATTCTTCGTAGCTAGGTCCAAACGAAAATTTTAATTCAACCAAAACCAAACGTCCTCTATAAATTACAGCATGCTTAGTGAAAAAAAAAACTTTTCATTAAAGTCTTTTAAAACAATTTACTTTCAATATTCGTTCGCAGTAATTAAATTTTTAAAAGTTAAATATAAATAGTAATCTTTTTACGAAAAATTAATAAAATTATCAAATGCAAAAACAAACGAAATTTCGAAAATTTTAATTTACTTGAAATTTATTTTCTTTATGTTCGCAAATGAGAAGTAGCCGTTTTCATCAGAGAAATGCATATCAATTGTGCGAGAGTTGCTTATTCCATCATGAGCACCCACAAATGCTACAAGCTGAAAAAATCCCGCTGAAATGAAGAAATGAAAGAAATAATATTTTCAAAAAACACACGTAACCATTTCTTCGATCGTGATGCATGTCTGTGTGTTCAAATGGCTTTAA